GCAGAGACTGTGGAGACTTTCAGGGTGCATTGTTGGAAGCTCAAGTTATCAGGGGACGAAGTATGATAAATTGTAACTCAAGTCACCCGAAAGAGATAAAGTAGAATGGTTTCTTTCTTTCAGGTCGCTGAAATCCTAGAACTTCCTCTCAGAATAATTTCCTCTCTGAAAACTTAGCTCTAAAACCTGAATCGGAAATAGTGTAGGTGAGATGGGACTGTGCGCGTGAACTTCGGTTTTCTGTTTTTCAAAGGCATCACTATCTCAGCGAGTGTGCACTGAGAAACAGAGATCGTCGCGCCTACGCGCAACCTCCTCCCATTCCACCCTTCCTCTCCCCTCCCAACCGCATTTCCTCCCTCAGTCTCCTCTGTGGATTCCTTTTAAAGAGTTGTTTCCGTTCCTTAGTTTCAACGTAGACTTCTTTAGAGTGATCCCTCACCTGAAATGTTTATTTTCCAGTTGTTGATCCGGCCCAGCTCAAGCCGGCACCTCCGCCCGTTGAATGTGAACCATCGTCATCTTCACGATCACTTGAAAAGAAGGCGCCGTAAGTATTATATAATGCCATGCATTTTAAAGTGCAGCGACACCAAGTGACAGTTGTCAATTTTTAGGCCAGTTCCTAATCGCTCTGGCTCTCGTATCGAGACTACTTTTGACTGTACACCTCCGGCAATGGCACCCATACGACAGCCACCTGCTTATGAGCAACTGGTCCAGCAGGGTCGAATACATCGCTGTCGACTGGGTAGGTTTAACCTTTCTACCAAACTGAAGTTCTTTTTATCGAGCGTTCTCACGCACTCTTTTAATTACTGGTGGAATCTAAAGTAAGTGTTTAGTGGCGAAAAGCATCTGGTTTTATTCAGCACGTAATTGCTTTTTGAATGTTGTTCACTGATTGCGAAAGATATATGTACTAATTAAATCGCTCCGACTTTTGCCATTAAAGGCAGTTGGCACGATAAATCCCCCAAGACGACTAGGATCAATACTCCTGGCAGGATAGAATTCCGCGACCCTGGGCAGGCGCTGCATAGCGGTTTCCCCGAGGAAGGGCCCTATCAAGCCACAACTTTACGTCCCAAACGCCCGCCGCCCGCCCACAAATGGACGACCGTTCCTGACGCTCGTATTCATTCATTTGCTAAGCAAATTATGAAGCGAAGGGATTGGTATGAAGCGGCCGTGATGCTGCATGCATACATGGGTACACATATGCAGCCGTATCTTCGGTAGCGGTGATTGGTAAGATGCCTACGGGAAACTCGTCCGAAATCGATTTACAAGTCACTGAGAACGGAGGCTTTTTCTTCGCAGGATTTTGACCGTTTCACTCCGTTCTTTCGCCATTTCCCCACTATACAGCGCCCTACTAGCATTTTAGGCTAAGTAGGAAACCATCGTGCCAACTGCCTTTAATCTTCGCTTAACTCTTTTTCCTGCTAGTGCCTCTTGTTAACTCTCCAGTCGTTCTCCACCTCGCTACATGTGCCCAACCATGACTGCTCCTGAACCACACTGACTTTATGTCTTGACGAAAGGTACTCGATCCCAAATGGTGCTGTCGTAGTTGACAAGAGCTTTGCTGTTGTTTCTTTTCATCCGCCCACAATAACAATTACAATCTTGTTCGCTGCGGTTTATGTAACATGCCAGTTAGACTTGGTTAGGCCAGCCGCCAGCCCGTTCTTCACCAGCTGTTGAAGCGGGTAAGCAGCAACTATTGCTGGAAAACGTTTGGTACCAGCGATATAATAGGATTTTGTCGTTTGCTGTAAAGAGAATATGAAAGAAAAGAAATGAGCTAGCGCCGCGCCAAACCCATCCCCCGACACGCCCCATCATGCGCAACGGACAAGACTGCATGCTGCTCAGGGGGCGTAGTTCATGACATCCTAGGCTGACTCGACGCGCTGCACGGTTCCCCCGTTGAGTGGGTTGGATTCTGGTGCGATATATGTATGAGTACATACATGCAGCTGTGTCTACCGTAGCGGTTATTGGCATGATGCCAACAGGAAACTCGTCTGAAATTGCTTTCTCGAGTCGCTTCGAGAGTTCCACTTCGCTTTTTGGCCATGTTCCCACTACATAGCGCCCCTGCTACCATTTTAGACCGAGTACCTGACTATCACGCCTTATGCCTTTAAGCTTCGAGTGCCGCAATCAGTGGTTGAATTGCTGTACCAGTCAATGCATGGTGTCTAGCAGTTTTCTGTGCTAATACATAAGGCATAAGGCGGATAGGACGGGAGAGGTTACATATCGCTGTTTTCGCTCGAGTAAGTTCTCATTCTCAGCGAACCGTTCCCGATCATCGCCAAGGTATCCAAAAAATGAAAATTGCAATGTATTTGACGCGCGTTCACATTGTCGTTAATGTCGAGTTGATTGACAGGAGTATTGTGAGGCCAGGTGTCGCGTGCCAGCCACGACCTTTTGGCGAAAAAACATCTTCAGGCCCTATGGGAGTAACGAAGTTTAACGACGGGTTGCCACTACCTTACCCAATGGGCGTCAAACCAACGTTGTCCATTCTCTCACTGAAGTTTCCTTCCTCCACTCCTCGTAGGGGATAAATTCAGCAGTTCTGTGTCTCTTGCGCAACCTGCCAACTTGTTTCGAGGAAGACGTGCCAGGACTTATCATCTAAGTACTCGCTCCGCGTTCACTCCCAATTTTTTTATGAAGATTTGTTTTCACTGTTCTTGTCCCTCGACTTTTCTTTCTAGATTGAACTGAAACTTGAAACTTCTGGAGGTTAAGAACTTTTTAATGGCTTATTCTTGATTTTTACGGCACCTTTAGTTTTTTTCTTCAATCTGGATCAGTTGCAATGTTTTTTCGCTCGACGTCTGACCACCTGCGGAAGGCGACTGCATTTTTATGTTAAGTCCCCATTATCGGGCCAGCACCGATTTTCCTTTACGATTTTTAGATTTCCTATAAGCCTTGTTAGCATTCAGTTCAGATCTTGACTCGCTATAATGCATAGGGCCTCAATGCTGTTGATCACGCTGAGTGCATCGATTTCAAAAAGCGCGCATCGATTTCCATGTACGCTTTTTTTACTTTGATGTTTTCCTGGATAA